AAAGGAAGAATCAGCACAAACAAGGGCTGCCCCTCTTTAAACACCTTTAAAGGAGACAAGTTGTTGGATATGATCACTGCTTACCATTTTTTTTTTATTTATAGACATAACCATACTTCATTGTATGGAATATGAATGCAGTAAATAATTAATTCAGCCAGATAGTTGTTTTCATGTTCATTTTATGAAGAGAGGTAAGTGATCACCCTTGCAGATGAGGCCTGAATTTTATCAATTTGTCTATGAAAAATATCAACATGCTCCTAGTTATGACTACATGTGATAAAAAAACATGTGTGAAATGATAGTAATAAGACAAAAAAGAGAAAAAAATCATAACAATAACAACAGAACAAGAAATGTGGACATTTTTTATCTCTGTAATCAGGCAATAAAAATTACAAGGTGTTTTGGGTACAAACTCAAATACAAAACAGAAAAAACTATCCATGATGCAGAACATTTAGGAAAAAGATGATATTCGTAGACTTCAGATTCAAACAAACCTATTAAAAAAAAAAAAAATCAAATAAAAAAATGGAAGTTTGCCTATATGAAAACACTGTATATTAAGATATTAATTTTTTAAACAGACACATTGCTACTACTAGGCTTAAATATTATTAATGAACATCCATTGAAACCCCTTTCCTTATTAGAATTATCTTATGCTATTTGTTATTACTGTTCAACATACGAAATATAAACAAAGTCTGTAATACATTCACATCAAGCTTTTTCAGAACGTCAAAATATCTAAATGTGAGGTAGCAATGAGATACATAACTACAAAGTTTTGATATTCTGTTCTGTACTTTTCATATGAATGCAGTAAGAAAACAATATTTATTTCAATCAGTTAAGAATGTGGTTGCCATATATTTTTTTCTCTCTTTTCCCAGTAACACCATAGAAAAATAAATAGGCTACCACTCCACTGATCAGGAAAATATTTTGTACATTGCCAGACAGGTTGGGGCATTAAGTCTCTCCACAGGTAATATTTACAGTCAGGAAAAAAATCTCCAGCATTTTTTCGTTCCAACCATACTCTCTCTTTTGATATAGGAAAGGGAAATAAATAGATAAAAAAGATTTACGAGATTCTAGCAATATCCACCGCTTTGTAAGTCAGAAGAATCATCTCTCATGCTACCAGTTTTACAACAATCCATCTAAACACATGTCCTCTATAGAATATAAAATATTAAATAACCCTGCCATAAAATACTGTAAGTCACACATGTATTTACAATATAAACAAAGATTAGTTCTATCGAAAACATGCTTCTAACCCTATCAAATCTGCAAACCAACCACAAGGGGCAACAGGAACCAGCTTGGTAAATAGAATATCATGAATAAATAAATCACATTACTTTGGTATTCCTTCTGATGTTGCTTTTATCACATGTCATGCTCTTACACTGTATTGGTTGACTGTGGTGCAGTCTCTTGCTGAAGGAAGACCGGTCCCTCCAGTGCAAACTGATTTATGGTACGGAACAAGCAAGAACTTTTTATATGTATGTATGTATGTATGTATGTATGTATGTATGTATGTATGTATGTATGTATGTATGTATGTATGCATGTATGTATGTATGTATGGAGACAGAGATTAAGATATATGTATAAAATGGTCAAAGTTTAGATTTTTTTCCTCTATGCTTAATTTTTTAATAGCATAAGCTTTTCAAATGGAATCTGCACAACCAATCTGGTACCAGTACGAAAGACACGTTTTCTAGACATTACATTATGACTGCATCACAATTCTTGAGCAAATGTGAGAGTACTGACACAATGCCCTAGATAGATATTTACAAACACAAGAAAGGTACAGAAGAATGATAAACATATACAAAAAATAATATTAATAATAAAAAAAAGTTGAAGTGAGCTACTGACTATACATTATCACCGAAACATATTTTGGCATAATTAAGTGGATGGAGAGATGAAAGTCCCTCCGATTTCTAGACCAATCCACAAACCCTTGAAATCAAAACGATGAGAGATGCAAATTTACACCTGAGCTCTTGCAATACTTAACCTGGTCCCAAAGGAGAAGACATCAGAGGTGTTAAGAAGACCTAGCACACACTGATGTGTATAGATCATGTTTGATGAAAGGGTCTATATGGACTACTTTACACACCATAAAAATGTTTCCTTTTTAATCTACTTGTCTTTAAACCAGAGTCATTACACCTAATGAGTACTATTCATGGAGACAATCTTTCGCTGAATCAAGGTACTGTTGTCATCTGTAAAGGAAGCCCTGATGTGGCAAGGTGAACAGTCTTGTCTGAGTTCATCTTCGCTGTCTGACACTGGCTGTGAACAGCAACGCTGCATATCAGTCTGAGGCTTTACATCGCGTAAAGAGTCAAGGTAGCTTGCCTTGCTGTCCACAACACTGAGTGAAATTCCCAGCTGTGCTGCATAGTATGTAATCATGATAATAGCCTGAAGAACAGAAAAATATAACAACATT